GAGGAATCTCACAGTTAGTGAGCCTTCCCTGTGTGGGTTGGAGCCCCAATTTGTTTCAGGAAAAACAAGAACAGACCCATTGTTTCCCCAAAGAAGAATGTCGTAAAGATTGAATAATGTGGGCAGTTTCCTTTGAGCTTGGAGTGCGTCTGCTGGCAGGTGAGGAAACAATAGCCTGCTCAAACATAAGCCACAGCTGTCAAACGGATATGAATGCAAAACTGAAACAAGACTCAAGTCCAAAAGTAGATGAACGACCAGAACTTTCTGCCAGAGTTTACAGCGGTCAGCACAGAGAAGATTAGGAAGAAGAAGGAGAGTTAGTGAGCCCAAGAGATGCGATGACCAGAAACTACAAAGTGAACAAAGCACTCACTAGCCCAGCCCACAGCCATAGACAAATGACATCCAGTCAGAGTGTGCTCCACTAACTTGGTAGATGGGTTCTAAAGTCCACTGTCCATAACTCCCATTCAATGACAATTTTAGTTCCAATGCCCTTTGAATGAGAATGCTTCTGAATCTTCTGCTTCTTCCTTGTGTTCACCGGCTGTAAACGCCGGCAGAAAGTTCTGGTTGTTGATCACTTTGGGACTTTAGTTTTGTTGAACAACTTTAGTTTTGTTGAACAACTTGAGTTTTGTTGAACAACTTGAGTTTTGCATTTTTGCTGGATGTACAAAGGAAATCTTGACTGAGCATATCACCTGCTTGAACAAGAACTACCCAGCCCTGAACACTCTCCTAGCACAGACCAACAAGAATACTAAGTGCAACAACAACAACAAGTTTTGTGTGCAAGCTGGCTGTAAGGTTCAGCTGATCCATTCCCTTCTCAGTTGAGAGGAAAGTAGCTACTTCTTCCACAACTTACTGTGACCAATACTGATCTTCTGGTCAACATGACGGATAGGCAGGTCTATTGTTTTTAGTCGTGACAAGTTTGTGTTCTGACAAGTCAGCTGTTGCATTTTCCTCTATATGTAGACTGAAAGAATATTTTCCTCGCCCAGCTACTGGGATGAGTGTATGGAATGACACTGTCAGCTGTGGATTTCTTTTGGAATGTTGTTCGACTGCGCCCTGCATGCTTTGTGTTGTGAACTATCGATTCATAAACCTGATGCCAGAGAACTTTGTGTTGCCAATTAATCAATGAACTGAGTATGCAGCTAACCAGTGATCTGTTGTAACTGCTGCTTCCATTGTCAATGAACTACACTTCTAGTGTCTGACATTGTGGGTTAGCACTTCTAATTGCTACTTTGTACATTGAATGCATGTGAATGCTCTAGGTTTTGCTAAGAGTGCAGTCGTTGTCCCAGTTGTTCACAAGGGACAGTGATGGATATTCGTTGACACAGGAAGAGACCAACTGCTGGGTGACCTGTGTGCTAAAAATTTGTAACTGCGATTACCTGTGACCAAGAATTGCAGGGAAGTGACTTCCCACAAGTCCCTGCAGACACACAAGCCAAACCAACCAGCAGAAAGCAATATGCAGACATCTGCTAAAGTACATCAGACACCTGCTAAGTACATCAGACATCTGCTAAAGTACATCAGACATTTGCAAAAGTACATCAGACATTTGCTAAAGTACATCAGACATCTGCTAAAGTACATCAGACATCTGCTAAAGTACATCAGACATCTGCTAAAGTACATCAGACATCTGCTAAAGTACATCAGACATCTGCTAAAGTACATCAGACATCTGCTAAAGTACATCAGACACCTGCTAAAGTACATCAGACACCTGCTAAAGTACATCAGACATCTGCTAAAGTACATCAGACATCTGCTAAAGTACAACAGACACCTGCTAAAGTACATCAGACATCTGCTAAAGTACATCAGACATCTGCTAAAGTACATCAGACCCCTGCTAAAGTACAACAGACATCTGCTAAAGTACATCTGACACCTGCTAAAGTACATCAGACACCTGCTAAAGTACATCAGACATCTGCTAAAGTACATCAGACACCTGCTAAAGTACATCAGACATCTGCTAAAGTACATCAGACATCTGCTAAAGTACATCAGACACCTGCTAAAGTACAACAGACATCTGCTAAAGTACATCTGACACCTGCTAAAGTACATCAGACACCTGCTAAAGTACATCAGACATCTGCTAAAGTACATCAGACATCTGCTAAAGTACATCAGACACCTGCTAAAGTACATCAGACATCTGCTAAAGTACATTTTCTTATTGTTTATTTGCATGAGATCAAAAATTATCAGACTTTACCTATGAGACACTGAAATAAAAGGTATTTAAATGTTTCACACTGCCAGAATTTAACACTAGTTACATCAAAGCTAGAAATAATAATTTATCCCTAACTATAAGATATGTTTTAAAAAACAACTGTCACTTGGTAATATGTGAATCATATAATGTGCAGTCATTAAACTGCTCTGGGAAATGATGAACAGGTGATATTTAACTGTGGGCCGCTGACTCTAGGATCATTTGTGCATCGTACAAAACAGTGACCAACATAGCTACAGAGAATCACTGCCAGCCTGGCAAGTAAACAAACAGCAGGAGGAATGACTTCATTGCACTAGGTTTTACCCCAGATGGCTCAGTCTCTAGCCTCAGAGAAGATGGCAAGCTAACGGGAGCATCTCACAAAGTACGAGCTTCATCATTCCAGTGAGGATCCCCAGGCATCTGTTTAAAAATGCACATATGAACTAAACAATGAAGTTCAATGCCGAACCCACTACCTTTACAGCAGAAGGCAAATGCTTGACCACTTCACCATGAAGATCCCCAGTAACTGAGCATCAAAAATATAATCTTCAATAAACTGCCTTGTGAAGATACTGCTGTTTTCTCTTCTTCAGCATTTCAAGCCCTTGAGGTTCACTACTGTAGATGTCACCTGTCTCCACTCATCTCTGTGGTTGGCCTTCTCTTTCCAGTTGGTGACACCAAGTGTTTTGTGTTGTTGTTGTTGTTGTTGTTGCTGTTGTTGCTTCACTATTTATTTCCTGTTCTGTAGCTTGTGTTCAGTTATCTATATTTCACAATCATCTAACAGCCAATGCTTCTTTTTCTTAAAGTTGTGTCTATCCACAACCTTCTGTCTCGTTTACTTTCAATCAACTCTGACACAGATGATCCTCCATGCCGTGTGGTGTTGATAGTCATGTCTATCCACAACCTTCTGTCTCGTTTACTTTCAATCAACTCTGACACAGATATCCATGCCATGATTTCCAGTTTTCTCCTTCTCATCATGACCAAAGAATGTAGATTGTCTCTTTCTTTCAGTCAATGCCACCATTAGACAAATCTGTGCAATGAAATAACTGTTATCCCCCTACAACATATGAGACATCATTTCCTCAAGCTTATAAAGAGTTCAGCATCAGCATAATAGCTGACATGTCAGGGCACAGATGTGTGTAGGCTGCCTTTACAGCGAGGATGGGTGTGTACACAGTATGACATAAACAGTGTCAGTTATACATGACAGCATTGGTATATAGTACCACACAGACAGTGTCAGTTATACATGACAGCATTGGTATATAGTACAACACAGACAGTGTCAGTTATATATGACAGCACTGGTATAAACAGGACAGCAGCAGTACTATTAGCCATCAGTCATATCAAATACAAATAATGCCACTAATATTTTGGACAGTTTTAGTAATACCAACACTGGATAATGCCCATAATACCAACACTGGATAGTGCCCACAATATCAACACTGAATAGTGCCCACAATATCAACACTGGATAGTGCCCATAATATCAACACTGAATAGTGCCCACTATATCAACACTGAATAGTGCCCACAATATCAACACTGGATAGTGCCCACAATATCAACACTGGATAGTGCCCATAATATCAACCCTGGATAGTGCCCATAATATCAACCCTGGATAGTGCCCATAATATCAACCCTGGATAGTGTCCATAATATCAACACTGGATAGTTCCCATAATATCAACACTGGATAGTTCCCATAATATCAACACTGGATAGTTCCCATAATATCAACACTGGATAGTTCCCATAATATCAACACTGGATAGTTCCCATAATATCAACACTGGATAGTTCCCATAATATCAACACTGGATAGTTCCCATAATATCAACACTGGATAGTTCCCATAATATCAACACTGGATAGTGCACATAATATCAACACTGGATAGTTCCCATAATATCAACACTGGATAGTGCCCATAATATCAACACTGGATAGTGCCCACAATATCAACACTGGATAGTGCCCATAATATCAACACTGGATAGTGCCCATAATATCAACACTGGATAGTTCCCACAATATCAACACTGGATAGTGCCCATAATATCAACATATGACAGAGACAGTAGTATCAATAATAGACAATAGCAACATTGGATAATGCCAGTAATATCAGCACAGCCTAGTGCCAGTCTTGTACACCAACAAATATGGTCATTTCAAGAGTAAGCACAATCAAACATGGATGTGTGACTAATATAAATATCGGACAAAGTCAACAGAAGCTGACAGTAGACCCTGTTGGTAATATCAACGGTAAAAATGTATTAATGTCAATACTAGACAAAGTTTGTGTTTGCCTCACTGACAATGGATATTTTAAAAAAATGACAGCACAATTAAAGAGACAATAGATGTGAAAAGTGACAGCACAATTAAAGATATAATGGATGTGGGAAATGTCAACAAAATGAAAGATGGACATGTCAACGATATCACTAACAGCTATAACCGGCAATATATGTCTGACAGGTAACAAATTTGAGCAACTATGTTTGTGCAATGGAAACAACGAAATATTCTGCAGCCCCAAGATAAAACATTAAAAATGTATATTCAGTTGTTGCATAAACCTGGATAAAGGAATGCTGAAGTATCAAACAAGCAGGCAATGCTGCCAAGTGTTGCTATCATGCCGAAGACAGGCAAAAATCAGGAGCAGAAGTCACCAGTTTTGTGGCAAATGTTAAAAGATGTACTCGTCGTACGTGGCTGACCATCTGCCGAATAGTATCCAGTTTGGTAACTCTTCTTCCAAGGCTATTAAATCTGGTGTAACCTGCAGAAAGATACAGACCAGGAAACATTTTCAGGCCAATTAAATTTATTAAAGGATAATTTGCTGAAAAGAAAAAGAGTAGAAAGGAAAAGAAACATAATGGCAGATGTTATGTTATCACAATCTACGTCTCTGCATGCTGGGCATCCCCATGTGTGCTCAGTCATCAGATACAGCAGCCACTCCAAGGTACCTCTACTGATTGTTTCCATGAGGAGTTGGTTATAGTATCTCCTGTCTTTACCTCGAAGACGGCACTGACATGCTTCACCAAGCTAAACTCCTCAGTCAGAGATTCGCCATTATCCCCTAATTCATAAAATGCATATTATAATATAAATATAACATGCTTATTGATAAAATACAGCTGCAGTGAGAAAGACGGGTGTTTGGAAGAGCCAAAAGTAAGATGGGCCTGCGTGCCCAATTTATGACCCTTTGAAAATTAAGTTTGTTCGTTCATTCAACTTCCTGTGCATCCGGTGTGCTTCTCATGCTTGGCTGTGCCGATCTTTACTCCCAATTCTCGTATTCTTAGCAGTGATGTGGACACGTTGCTGATCTCTTTCTGCCCTGGTTCTTCATTTATCAATGCCATCTTCTTGTCCATCACACTGCTTTTTAAACCCAGGGTAGCATCTTCAGCAAAGCCTGGATATGTACACTAGGTATTTCCTCCACACATCACCCAGTGGTGATCTCTGGCTGTGTCTGTCTTGGTTGTCTGTGTCCATGTCATCTTCTTGTCTGTCACGTTGCACTCTGAGACCATCATACCACCCCCGCAGCATTGAGAAGGAGAATCAGGGTGTGTGTCCACTAGATGTCCCACCAATACAATCTTAACATAGGTGGTCATTTCTGGCTGTTTTTAGCTTGCTTGCCGTCCGTATCAATGTTGTGAAGGTTTCCATTTGCATGTCTATGAAACACCTAAGATCTTCTACAAGAGCCCATGGTATGTTTGACAGGGATCTTGTACAGCAGTCTGTGATATGTCTGACAGTTCTTTCCTCCTTGACCCCAGCTAGGACAGGGGTCTTGTACAGCAGTCTGTGGTATGTCTGACAGGTCTTCCCTCCCTGACCCCAGCTAAGACAGGGGTCTTGTACAGCAGTATGTGGTATTTTGACAGTTCTTCCTAGTCTCTCCTTTCTGTCTATATCTTTCTTCCACTCTCCCTCAATGGATATGATACATTAGTTCCCCTGTTTTTCCCAGCACCAATCACTGATCAAAGAATATGATACAGCAAAGACACCTGGGCACACAGATTCTCACCTGATATGGTCCATGCAGGTAATGTCCAGCAAATCCCATCCTGATTAGTGAGCTATTAATGTTCTTGTTCCCTTCCACCTGTCAGTTTGTGAAACAAATATTGATGACAGAAACGTAAAGGTTAGCATGAGAGATCCCCTTGTGGGTTTTTGGGCATCATTGGAGGGGGGAGGGGAGGGTGGGGGCTTACTCCCCCCTCCCCCCACAAGCATGTCATACAAGGTAACTTATTAGGGGTATTTTTTTAAAACTTGGTAGTGCATCTGCCTGAGAGACAAAGAACCAACAGTCTGCATAAAAATAAGATACATCTGTAAAGTGGATCTGAACACAAAACTCAAGTCCTGTAACAGGACTAAAGTCCAGAAGTGGATGAACAACCAGAACTTTTTGTTTGAATTTAAAGCCCATGAAAATGAAAAAAAAAAGCAGTAGATGCGTGCGTGTGTGCATGAGAGAGAGAATAGAGAGAGAGAAACAGAGAGTCAGAGAACAAACGAATGAATGAACTAACTTTATTTTCAAATGGTCCCAAACTGGATGTATAAGGCATGTTATGTTGATGTAGCAATATGGAATATTTGAATCAAGTAAAACACTAAAGTATAGGTAGGGGATCTATAACTCCAAATAAATATGCATGCATACATATCACAAACATACATATCATACATACATAAATTCATTACATGTATAATTACACTGGCACATGTATACATATTATGCATACACTCATAGATAAACTCTCACACATTCACACTCACACACATGAATACACTTACACAATCATTAACACACATAATACACACAATCATACTTATGAATGAGAGATTGGGGGTGGGGGGGGGGTGGGGGTGTAGAAACAAAGAAGGAATGAGTCAACTTGACCTATTATGAATGTATTCATAACCCTGCCACTCATAAACTGAAGTCTGTGTACTGTTATCAAATACCACTAGAGATGTCCACCTGTCCCATAAACCTCAATGAAGGCTGCTTCAGTTTACAGGTGATACCACTTACTGCCTACAACATGATTCTCTTTTCTGCATTTGTCCTTAACAGGGTGGTTGGCACTTTGTGTTGTATTAGTTTACAGACAGGTCGAGATATCTGCACCTTTCGGATTCATATATCCAGTCCCAGCATCCCTTAATGAGTCATCTTTTACGACATGCTTGTTAACCCTGTAGTCCCGAGAAGACTAGATTTTGTCACTTCCTGTTGTAACACAGCCCCATCAATTCCAATATATCGATATGTCTGCGGCGGTGACATGTTCTCAATAAACCTAGTCAACACCGGTGTTGATATGAATATAGTAACTAATTACGGGTGTTTTGGTATGACCCAACAGCTTTTATAAAGCCAAGCTGATGGCAAATGTTCCTGTAAGCCTCAGTGATGGAGGACACGGCAAGAGTCAGCCAACAGGCCTCAGGGAATGCATCCCATTTGGGCTTTATTCTGTTCCTGTTCAGTGTCTACTTTGTTATATATCTCAAAAAATATTTGTAAATTTTTTTTTTTAAACCAAATGTAGATAATACATTAAAAAAAACTATTAATAAAAGAAATTTTTAAAATACATTTTTTTTAAATGTGTTAGTGACTTGTGAGATATGTTTTTTTTTTAAAAATGACTTTTACTTGGGAATGTCCCCATTTTTTGTAAACATTTACAGGGCATAATTGTTAAGGGAACATGTGTCTGCCCACCTCACACCCATTCCCCCTGCCCCCCCCCCCAATATGGGGGCCTGGAACCCACAAGACGAATAATTTATTTCTATACAACTTGAAGTGGATGAACAACCAGAAATGAAAACAAATACAAAGATGCACACACCTCGACATTTAAGGAGAACGCCCATGTGGCATTGTCTGGCCCTGCATGAGAATAGTACACAAAATATGTGGGCTCCTTGATGTAGGGGACGGTGAAGATCTCAACGGGGAAGTCCTGGCCGCACGTCCAGTTTTTTAGTTTCACCAGGGGAAATCCAGAAATGAAAATTGTCACATGACTTGGTCCTATATGGATACAAGAAGTAAAAACTACACTGACTGTTGTAGGAGATGGTTACATAAAAATGAGACATGAAAAGTATATGGAAATCTTGAAGAGAAACAAGGAAGGGCCTGCAGATCATTGCCAGTTGTACTGTATTAATAACCTTTGCTAGGCTCGCAGAGTTGGGTATAGGCTGTCAGTAACTACAGAAGTTTGAGTCATGCTGCCAGAACCTGCAGGATATGGCTTGTTGCTGTTAGAGGGTGAACAAGTTTGACTGATGCTGTTAGAGGGTGTACATGTTTGACTGATGCTGTTAGAGGGTCCACAAGTTTGACTGATGCTGTTAGAGGGTGTACATGTTTGACTGATGCTGTTAGAGGGTGTACAAGTTTGACTGATGCTGTTAGAGAGTGTACATGTTTGACTTATGCTGTTAGAGAGTGTACATGTTTGACTGATGCTGTTAGAGGGTCTACAAGTTTGACTGATGCTGTTAGAGAGTGTACAAGTTTGACTGATGCTGTTAGAGGGTGTACAGGTTTGACTGATGCTGTTAGAGGGTGTACAAGTTTGACTGATGCTGTTAGAGGGTGTACATGTTTGACTGAGGCTGCTAGAGGGTGTATATGTTTGACTGATGCTGCTAGAGGTGTACATGTTTGACTGAGGCTGCTAGAGGGTCTACAAGTTTGACTGATGCTGTTAGAGGGTGTACAAGTTTGACTGATGCTGTTAGAGGGTGTACAAGTTTGACTGATGCTGTTAAAGGGTGTACAAGTTTGACTGATGCTGTTAGAGGGTGTACATATTTGACTGATGCTGTTAGAGGGTGTACAAGTTTGACTGATGCTGTTAGAGGGTGTACATGTTTGACTGATGCTGTTAGAGGGTGTACATGTTTGACTGATGTTGTTAGAGGGTGTACATGTTTGACTGATGCTGTTAGAGGGTGTACAAGTTTGACTGATGCTGTTAGAGGGTGTACAAGTTTAACTGATGCTGTTAGAGGGTGTACAAGTTTGACTGATGCTGTTAGAGGGTGTACAAGTTTGACTGATGCTGTTAGAGGGTGTACAAGTTTGACTGATGCTGTTAGAGGGTGTACAAGTTTGACTGATGCTGTTAGAGGGTGTACATGTTTGACTGATGCTGTTAGAGGGTGTACAAGTTTGACTGATGCTGTTAGAGGGTGTACAAGTTTGACTGATGCTGTTAGAGGGTCTACAAGTTTGACTGATGCTGTTAGAGGGTCTACAAGTTTGACTGATGCTGTTAGAGGGTCTACAAGTTTGACTGATGCTGTTAGAGGGTCTACAAGTTTGACTGATGCTGTTAGAGGGTCTACAAGTTTGACTGATGCTGTTAGAGGGTCTACAAGTTTGACTGATGCTGTTAGAGGGTGTACATGTTTGACTGATGCTGTTAGAGAGTGTACATGTTTGACTGAGGCTGTTAGAGGGTCTACAAGTTTGACTGATGCTGTTAGAGGGTCTACAAGTTTGACTGATGCTGTTAGAGGGTGTACAAGTTTGACTGATGCTGTTAGAGGGTCTACAAGTTTGACTGATGCTGTTAGAGGGTGTACATGTTTGACTGATGCTGTTAGAGGGTGTACAAGTTTGACTGATGCTGTTAGAGGGTGTACAAGTTTGACTGATGCTGTTAGAGGGTCTACAAGTTTGACTGATGCTGTTGGAGGGTGTACAAGTTTGACTGATGCTGTTAGAGGGTCTACAAGTTTGACTGATGCTGTTAGAGGGTCTACAAGTTTGACTGATGCTGTTAGAGGGTGTACATGTTTGACTGATGCTGCCAGAACCTGCAGGATATGACTTGTTGCTGTTAGAGGGTGTACATGTTTGACTGATGCTGTTAGAGGGTGTACAAGTTTGACTGATGTTGTTAGAGGGTGTACAAGCTTGACTGATGTTAGAAGGTGGTGTTTGCAGGTAGTGGCTACAGAGGTTAGATTTGTACTACAGATGCTGTAAAACTGCAATTTGAAATAACAGACAAGAATCCAAGCTTACCTGAAACATTGAACGTCAGTTGAACCTCCGAGTCGCTGACGAGAGTTCGATTCTGTTGCACCACCGTCACTCTTGGTACTTGCATGGGGGATGCCGGGAAGTCATAGGTCTTTCTGTATTTGAGTATAACATCCGACATGTTTACACTGACCATGGTGACAGACATCAGATACCCTGTCTACTGGCTATGGTGACAAACGTGACAAACATCAGATACTGTGTCAACTGGCTATGGTGACAAACATCAGATACTGTGTCAACTGGCTATGGTGACAAAGGTGACAAACATCAGATACTGTGTCAACTGGCTATGGTGACAAACGTGACAAACATCAGATACTGTGTCAACTGGCTATGGTGACAAACGTGACAAACATCAGATACTGTGTCAACTTGCTATGGTGACAAACACGACAAACATCAGATACTGTGTCAACTGGCTATGGTGACAAATGTGACAAACTGTATTTTGTCAACTGGCTATGGTAACATCAGACAATGGCTATGGTGACAAACGTGACAAACATCAGATACTGTGTCAACTGGCTATGGTGACAAACATGACAAACATCAGATACTGTGTCAACTGGCTATGGTGACAAACATGACAAACATCAGATACTGTGCTAACTGGCTATGGTGACAAACATCAGATACTGTGTCAACTGGCTATGGTGACAAATGTGACAAACGTCAGATACTGTGTCAACTGGCTATGGTGACAAACACGACAAACATCAGATACTGTGTCAACTGGCTATGGTGACAAACATCAGATACTGTGTCAACTGGCTATGGTGACAAACATCAGATACTGTGTCAACTGGCTATGGTGACAAACATCAGACACTGTGTCAACTGGCTATGGTGACAAACGTGACAAACATCAGATACTGTGTCAACTGGCTATGGTGACAAACATCAGATACTGTGTCAACTGGCTATGGTGACAAACATCAGATACTGTGTCAACTGGCTATGGTGACAAACATCAGATACTGTGTCAACTGGCTATGGTGACAAACGTGACAAACATCAGATACTGTGTCAACTGGCTATGGTGACAAACATCAGATACTGTGTCTAATGGCTATGGTGACAAACATCAGATACTGTGTCAACTGGCTATGGTGACAAACATCAGATACTGTGTCTAATGGCTATGGTGACAAACATCAGATACTGTGTCTAATGGCTATGCCGACAACAATTCTTTCCACAGAAGAAATATCTAGAATGTGTCCCTGTGTTTTTTTTTTCAGTTCTCAGTCCGCACACTGTAGCTCCACAAAGATTAACAAATATACACTGATCTACATAGAAAACTATGAAAAACACACAAGAGGTCTGTCAGCTATTGATCGACTGAGCAGTTTCTCCCTTCCGGACTGCTACCTGATGTCTTACTATTCTGAGATTAAAAAATCTTAGTCTGGACGGAAGACCAACAAGGCAGATAACAGATACCCTGTTTAACCTCCTTAGAAGTTATAATCAGTCTTATATGGGTAAGGGTACCTAACACCTGCCAGCCAGCTGTTGGCTCTTTAAATACTCAATGAGGCATAACATTTTTGTTTAATGACCTGGCATCCCGTGTCGTTACATCCTAAAAACAGTATCCGAAAATGTCCCCTTGGTGTAAAAGTTATGCCTGTAATATTCAGCGTCTCACCCACTGAGTAGAATTTGTTCACAATAATTTACAACTAGCATCATATTTCCAATACACGTTAAGGTCCTGGGAAAAGGCCTTCTTTTAACTTGATTACAACAAACTGAAATTGTAGGCACAGCAGATGTGAACTTATCTCTACCAGCTGCAAATATTATTGTCAAAGGCATGTCAGATTTCCACACGTCACCTCCCCACGTGAGCTCCGGGCTACATTCTGCGGGTGACAAGAACAGACCCACTGCCGCCCGCCACACTCCAACAAAATAAAAGGTGACTAATTAGCTGTTTTCCCTTTGAAACTGGAGTGTATCTTAATGAGAGGTGAGGAACCAATAGTCTGCATACAAGCCAAATCTGTAAAATAGACTTGCACGCAAAACAAGTTCTGGAATAAAATCAAAGTCTAGAAGTCGATGAACAACCAAAACTTTCCATTAGTTTTTTTTTTTTAACGTATCCAGAAACCATGAGTTGTAAACCCTTTGGCTCGGTACTATGGATATCGCAACCCTTCGGCATTGATTCCATTATAAGTACCGTTATTTCTGAGAGAAATGTGGCTCTTCTGCCTACCTCCGGGAGTGAACCCGGACCACAAGGAGTTCGTCACCCGGCCGCCGCGAAAGTCAGGTTTAACCAACTTCGCTAGAGAGCCGGGCTCCACTAGAGTTTACAGCCGGTGAATACTGAAGAAAAAGATATTTTCACTATTAACTTTAAATATGAAAGTCAGGCACGTTCAATTTTCTCAGTGTGTGTCCTATCCATCTCCAGCATCTATTCTTTTAAAAAGGGTTATTCAACTCAGCTTTCTGGGGAACCATAATTTTAAAAATGAGGATGACCACAGGAGCCAACTCCAGCATAGAAAAGTTATTCATACAATACATTTGTTAATGGCCCATGGGCCATACTAAGCCTCCATGGGCCATGCTAAGCCTCCGTGGGACCACGCTAAGCCTTCGTGGGCAGCCAGCTGAATAGCCCCATTCTATGTACATCATAGTAAATAAATGAACATCATTATTTTGTAGCAGGTCCGCGGCAGAACATTATTCAATTTGATCGTGCTGAAATTAGTTTCCATCCCTCACCAGTTGTCCTGGCTATATATTTTCAGCGCTAGTGAGTCTTTTATGTTCTGTGTCCATAATTTTGTCACTGGATTATCTTCCAGAGCCATTTCTTGCTGCTGTTATTTCTGAACCTCTGTTAAACTGAGTGGTTAATATATTTAAGTTTATTACACCATTTTGGAGCCAGTTTTCCTCAATGTTCAGATCTTACTAAAGGAGCATTTTATGTCAATGTTCAGATCTTACTTAAGGAGCATTTATATGTTAATATAAAATAACAGCAGATTACCTGGCATCAACTTGTGCCAGAATCGGGTACAAGTACGGCCGTCCGCAGTAGACTCCATCACAGGATGCTTTCTTTGCCCTGGCAAACACCTGGGGGGTGTAAGTTTCCATCATTCTGCCACCGATGTAGTCAATAGGTTTGTACCAGATGTAGGCATCCTTCTTCTCCACCTGTCCTTGGTGAGAGTGAAACCTGCGATCAAAGTGCTGTAGAGGATGAAAGAGAAACACAGGGTTAATGGAAAACATGGAAGCTGTTAAAGTTATCTTTTTTAGTCATCATCATCATCAAGTAGCAGGTCCTTTGCAGAACTCGGTCCCTCGCCAGCTCTCCTGCCTCAAGTACTTTCATACTCAAGGAGTCACCTATATCTTGTGCCCATCTTCATGCTGGTCAGCCCCTGCTCCTTCTTCCTGGTACCATGCCTTCTGCTATAATTTTTTCCAATCCGTTGTGGCGCTTGATATGACCAATATATTTCAGCTTCTGAGACAGGAAGCTGATTATTAGCCAATCTTCTTTGATGTTCAGATCTTTCAAGATTTCAGTATTTCTCCTCTTCTTTGACCAATCTTACTTAATAGTATCAAGAATGTCACTGTACTCAGATAAAGATGGGCTGGGTCTGGAGACCGTGGTTAAAGTCTCTGAAGCAGTCAGGGCTGACAGATATCAGTCTCACATTTGTGCCAGGGAACTGAGCAAGATAACAGGCTTGCAGGTAAGGCTACTGTGGAGGTCAGATGAGCAATAAAACATCAGTTATTCTGATGGCTTTATCAGAAGGAAGATGTCTGTGAGAACCAAGTGATGACTGAGTCTGCAACCATGACCAGTCTGCAAGAACCAACATATTCAATGAGGTGTGGCCAGACAAGAGTACTAGGCAGAAAGCCAAAGAAGAATAAGAAACCAACACAGAACTGGTGTCGTCAGCCTCTACACACTGCAGGATTTACTTCTTCTTCTTCTTCAGCGATCTCTGGTCATGCGCATAATCCACTGTGGGTCATAAACTGGGATGTCTTTTCAAGGTCTCTTAGGTTTCCCCAAAGCTTAGTTGTCAGTTCTACTGGGTGATGCCATATGTCGCTCCGCAGCTCCGCCAGGAGAGGACAGTCTTGCAGGACATGTTCTGGAGTCTGTTCAGCATGAAGGCACTGGCAGAGAGCTGTTTGGCTCATACCTAATTTATGTGAGTGTTTACTGAGTCTGCAGTGTCCAGTGCGTAAGCGAAAAACTGTGACTTGGTCTGTTCTGTTCAAGTGTTTCAGAAAGATCTTTTCCGTAGTTATAAACAGTGTTAGTTTTCCAATCTGTTTCTGATTTTCTCTTAATGAGAGTTTTGACTTCTAGAAAAGATAGTGGCTGGTAGGTCTGTGGTTTGTTACTGCCTTCCTTGGCTAAAGCATCTGCGCTTTCATTGCCTTTGATGCCACAGTGAGACGGAATCCACTGCAAGTGAATTTCTGCCTTATTTGACAAAATAGCAAGTTCCTGTGTTAGACTTTGTAGTGTGCTGTGGTAGGTTTGGACTTAAGGGCCTGTATAGCTGACAGTGAGTCAGTGAGAAAAGCTATCCTGCCTGCGGTAATTTGCAGATTGTTCATATAGCAGGATTGACTGAGGAGGGGATCCGAGCACTTATGGAACTAAATGGTTCCATGTGCAATGAGGATAATCTGTGGACTGACTAACTAAAGCCTAAGGGTGTTTAGTCCCACTCAGTGGATATCTTCTACTTATTCTTAGCATTCACTGGTTGTAAACAATGACAGACAGTTCTGGTGGTTCATCCACTTCTGGACTTCAGTCTTATTCCAGAACCTGAGATTTGCATGCAGATCTATTTTACAGATCTGGCTTATTTTTACACATTGTAAAAAAACAAAACTGCTCTCCCTATCTGAAGCTGCCATGAAGGATGACCTTGGAACCTTCACCTTGACACAGTTCTTGAACAATAATTCAACAGGAATTCACACCTACAAGGTAATATAAAATCTTATTCGAAACAGTAAAACGACCTTCAACTTGGCTATCTGTGTACCTAATACAGAAGTACCTAGTTCAAATCCAGCAGAAAATTGTATAGAGAAACAAACAAAGAACCCTAACAATGCCATCCTGCCCAGTGATCCCTGAACAGTTAGTTGACAGAACACCTAATTGTGGAGGACCAGTGACAATTGCACAGATTTATGATGTCTCAACATCTAGAAATTATGATAATAGTTAGAAATTAGGATAACTCAAGTTAGAAACAATGATAATTCAACAGTTAGAAATTACAATGACTCAACAGTTAGAAATTACAATGACTCAACAGTTAGAAATGACAATGACTCAACAGTTAGAAATGACAATGACTCAAAAGTTAGAAATTACAATGACTCAACAGTTAGAAATTACAATGACTCAACAGTTAGAAATTACAATGACTCAACAGTTAGAAATGACAATGACTCAAAAGTTAGAAATGACAATGACTCAACAAAGTAGAAATTACAATGACTCAAAAGTTAGAAATAATGATAACTCAACAGCTATAAGTTATGGTAACTCAAAAGTTAGAAATGACAATGACTCAACAGTTAGAAATGACAATAACTCAAAAGTTATAAATTACAATGACTCAACAGTTAGAAATTACAATGACTCAACAGTTATAAATTACAATGACTCAACAGTTAAAAATGACAATGACTCAAGAGTCAGAGGCTGCAAAGAACAAAACAATACAGCCGACCTGAGTTTTCAATGACCACATAAACTACCTGAATTGGCAGTGACTGTATAAACCAATTCTGTTATCAGTGACAGTATTAAAAGTATGAACTACCTCAGCTCCACACGTGGGTTCCGGGGCCCCAGTATAAGGAAACAAGAACAGACCCACTGCCACCCTACCGAGCATGTTGTAAGTAAGAGTAGACTAATCAGGAGTTTTCTTCAAAGTCGGAGTGCATCTGCCTCAGAGGCAAGGAACAAACAATCTGCATACAAATAAGGCATATCTGTAAAATGGATGTGCACGCAACACTAGTTCTGGAAAAAATACTAAAGCCCAGAAGCAGATGAACAACCATAACTTTTTGCCAGTTTATAGCTAGTAAATGCAAAGAAGAAACTCTTCAGTTCTTAATGACAGCATAAACTACCTCAGTTCTCAGTGACTGTATAAACTACCTCAGTTCTCAGTGACTGTATAAACTACCTCAGTTCTCAGTGACTGTATAAACTACCTCAGTTCTCAGTGACTGTATAAACTACCTCAGTTCTCAGTGACTGTATAAACTACCTCAGTTCTCAGTGACTGTATAAACTACCTCAGTTCTCAGTGACTGTATAAACTACCTCAGTTCTCAGTGACTTTATAAACTACCTCAGTTCTCAGTGACTGTATAAACTACCTCAGTTCTCAGTGACTGTATAAACTACCTCAGTTCTCAGTGACTGTATAAACTACCTCAGTTCTCAGTCACAATATAAACTACCTCATTTCTCATTTACAGTATAAACTACCTCAGTTCTCAGTGACCGTATAAACTACCTCATTTCTCAGTCACAATATAAACTACCTCATTTCTCATTCACATTATAAACTACCTCATTTCTCAGTGACTGTATAAACTACCTCAGTTCTTAGTGACTGTGTAAACTACCTCATTTCTCAGTGACTGTAACAACTACTACCTCAGTTCTCAGTAACTGTATAACTACCTCATTTCTCAGTGACTGTATAAACTACCTCAGTTTTCAGTCACAGTATAAACAACCTCATTTTCTCACTGACTACAAATTAAATCAATTCTCACTGACAGTCACTGCTACCTCAGCTCTCACTGACAGTCACTGCTACCTCAGTTCTCACTGACAGTCACTGCTACCTCAGCTCTCACTTACAGTCATTGCTACCTCAGCTCTCACTTACAGTCATTGCTACCTCAGTTCTCACTGACAGTAAACTTTACTTTAGCTATCATGACAGTGACAGCACAAAGTCTACATACCACAAACACGCCCCTCTGAGGGGAAGGGTCCTGTGGATTGGCGGAGAATGGGAACCCAGCGGGTGTGAAGATGACGGAGATAAGCCCCAACAGTATGACAGCAACTGTCGTAGTCAAAACCCGTCCCACACGGGCATGGGTGTACACAAAGCCAACCTGTGGACGTTCATCATAAATTCAGTAAAACAATAAACCCACTTTAAACAAACAAACAAACAAAAAAGCACACGCACGCACACAACCCCACCCACAGTTGCAAACACTAGTTTACCCAATACACTATCTGGGCTCCATCTTAGTGCATCTGAGTCTAATTTAACTGTCCTCTGGTACCAGAGGTGTTCACACTGCTTTGGGCTCACATCTGCTAAGGGAAAAGTTAGCATCTAAGCATCTACACATGGGGACACTTGCTGCAGGAGACACAATATTTATGGGTATGCCCGATGTACAATGATTATGATTTCTAAGTCAGTCATTACTGCTTCCTCTTCAGCCCTGGCATGTTAAAGTTAACTTTAACTTAAATACTTTTAAATATAGATACCCATACATTGCTGTTCTGCATCTTTTTTTTCAAAAATGATCTTGACTCGCAGGTAAACCCAGCCTTAAATGGGTACCAGGTGAAGTCCTGGGAAATAAAGGTGGTCAATATGATGCCGACCACATCACGCACAAAGTGACGATTGGTCTATAAAACACATGTCTAGCCCTATATGCCCAATACATCTAAAGGTGTGGTAAAGGGACCTTTACTTGACATTGTGTCCGAGGGTGTTGATGTGCATGGCACTGTTTTGTTGACATTGTGTCCGAGGGTGTTGATGTGCATGGCACTGTTTTGTTGACATTGTGTCCGAGGGTGTTGATGTGCATGGCACTGTTTTGTTGACATTGTGTCCGAGGGTGTTGATGTGCATGGCACTGTTTTGTTGACATTGTGTCCGAGGGTGTTGATGTGCATGGCACTGTTTTGTTGACAATAATACAGTGGCAGGTTTCATTTGTTGGGCCACATTCAGCGGATGATCTCACTGGGTCCCTGACTGTGTGCAACCCCTATCATTGGCCCCTAACCATGTGCAACCCCTATCATCAGCCATTTCTTGTAGCTTTTTTCATCTCTGCCCCAATATTTCACATCCCTGTTTCTAACTCTCTTCTCTTAACCTTGTTACATCAACAAGACTAAATCTAGTCACTTCCCGTTGTGACACAATCGCATAAATGCTAATGTATCGGCATTTCTGCAAAAACTTGTTGCTTGGTTACATTAGAACTATAGTTTGTTTTTGCTAGTGTTTTTTCTTTAAGCATTTCTATAACCCATACAGTCTTTGTCTGCATTTGTTTCTGCAGTGGATTTGTCGTTTCATTCACTGAAAAAGATGTGGGAACAAGGGTTGACTGTATATGTGAGTGTGCTCCCCTTTAATTTTTTTTTTTTTTAGTTTCATAGTTATATTTCATGTAGTGTTCATTGAATTGTTTGGAGTGGCTGGCCTTGTGACTAGAATGCTGAGCTATCATGTGGGAGATCCAGGTTTAAATCCTCAATAGTTGACAGAAGGTTGTTCTCACTGTGGCAAAAATAAACAGTAACCGCACAGTTCGTGACAACTGCCCTGGCCATGTAGCCACTTTTATACTTCCTTCTTCTGTCTCACTGCCTTTGCCGTAAAGTTTCATAGAGAGGAGTCATTTTACTGTCTTTTGTCGCTCCGGTTATGCCATAAAATGTCACAGAGAGGAGTAAGTTTACTGTCTTTTGTCCCAATGGTTATGCTGTAAAATGTCACAGAGAGGAAAAAGTTTACTGTCTTTTGTCCCAATGGTTATGTCGTAAAATGTCACAGAGAGGAGACAGTTTACTGTCTTTTGTCCCAATGGTTATATCGTAAAGTGTCACAGAGTGGAGTAAGTTTACTGTCTTCTGTCCCACTAGTTATACCGTAAAATGTCATAGAGAGGAGTAAGTTAACTGTTTTTTGTCCCACTAGTTATACCGTAAAATGTCATAGAGAGGAGTAAGTTAACTGTTTTTTGTCCCACTGGTTATGCCGTAAAATGTCATAGAGAGGGGTTAGATGCAGTTTACTGTTTTTTGTCCCACTGGTTATGCCGTAAAATGTCATAGAGAGGGGTTAGATGTAGTTTACTGTTTTTTGTCCCACTGGTTATGCCGTAAAATGTCACAGAGAGGAGTAAGTTAACTGTTTTTTGTCCCACTAGTTATACCGTAAAATGTCACAGAATGGGGTAAGTTAACTGTTTTTTGTCCCACTAGTTATGCCGTAAAATGTCACAGAGAGGAGTAAGTTAACTGTTTTTTGTCCCACTAGTTATGCCGTAAAATGTCACAGAGAGGAGTAAGTTAACTGTTTTTTGTTCAGTATGGCAGTGAAAAATTGCTTGTTTATCTTTTCTTCTTCTACTACATCTTCGCGTTTGCCGGCTGTAAACTTCAATAAAAATCAAAAACTTGAGTTTTGTGTGCATTTCCATTTTACAGATCTGGCTTATTTATATGCAGACAGTTGGTTCATTGCCTCTCAAGCAGAAACACTCTGACTGTGAAGGAAAACACCCTTAATGAGCAGCCTCCTAGGACATGTTTGCTAGAAAGGAAGCTGGTCTATTTTTTGTACTCCAAAATGGAGCGCTGAAACTCACATGTGGGATCACGTTAAAATGTGCTGAAATGGGGTTGGATTTGTGTGCCTAAAGAAACCAGTGATAACAAGTCAATGTGGCAAGTCTGACACAGTAAATCAGGTGTCATCTCCACAAAAAAGAATGGTCACACAAACTACAAACAGCAGCGGTGATTTCCCAGGAATTTAGGTAACAACTGTGCATGTAAATCAAACAGTTCAGCTAGTGGACAGCCCATAACCTTCAGAGCATATAACAAATGGCTATAACACACTGAGCCACAGTCTTTTTCAAGAGGACAAGTTCTACTGTCTTCTATTTTTGTTATATCTATTTACTGTTGTATCCAGTGTTACTGTGGCTGACTAGTTGTACTTTTTTCTATTTTTTATATCTATTTACTGTTTTTTGTTTCAGTTTTACAGTGGCTGACTCGTGTGTTACCACATTTTTTCACTATAAGACCCCTTGCCCCCCTCCCTCCATGTGAGGCAACCCTTATTTTTCAAGCCCAAAATTAAAAATTCAATATTTTAAGCACTTTCCGTGCATAAGACAAACCCCAGTTTTAAAGTGACAAAATTGGGAAAACATACTGTCTTAAACATAGAAAACTTGTCACTTGTCACTCACTGGTAGGTCGGAGCCCGCAGATCTCCAAGACTGCGTACATGCAAGCTGGCCAGAGGATGAACATGAGCGGCATAAAGGCAGACATCACCTCCGAGGCTGTCAGCAGCACCAGCACCACCGACCACAACATGAGGTTCGACTCCCGCAGCAACACCACCATCAGGGACGAGTCTATGTTCTGAAAATACATTTTGTTGTACGTTAACACTTCACATTTCATTCACTCATTCTTACCTCCTCCTGCAGACTCTAGTGATACTTCAGCATTATCATAATGTAACAGGTGCAGCTCTTTTTGGCTCAGAGGTTAGTGAAATTGTTTCACAATGCAATCTTCAACGTTCAACAGGGTTCGATTCCTGGGAATGGCGGTCTGGAAATAGATCATCCTCATGGCTTTCAGAAAAAGGTACGAGAGTCACACCACAGAAAAGATCAGGTCCTCGCCATATAATATTCCCATAGCCAACAGTCAATCTCCACTGTGGAGTCAGCGCGTTATACAGGTCTAATATAAGCAACTAAAAACCCCTTGAAACAGTAAACAGATGAAACATGCAATAGTTTGGACATGTAATAAGATCTGCTGGCTTTTCCAAAAACAGACAACAGGAACGAACGAACGAACGAACTTTATTTTCTAAGGGTTACAAATTAGGCACGCAGGCCTGTCTTACATTCGGCCCTTCCAAACTTCCATCTTTCACACAGCAGTTGTATTTCATCAATTAAGCATGTTATATTCATGTAATAATATGCATATTATTATATATATGAAGTCAAAAAACAATGGCATTTCTGGTAAAATATGTACGCACGCTCACGCGCGAACACACACACACACATACACACACAAGCCCAATGACTCACTTACACACAAAAATATAGGCACTAAGTACACAATACATCTACATACATACGAACATGGAGTCGGCACATACATACATACATACATACATACATACATACATACATACATACATACATACATACATACATACATACATGCATACATGCATACATTCATACAAACTCACATAATACATACATACACGCACGCACGCACGCACGCACGCACGCACGCACGCACGCACACACACACACACACACACATACATACATACATGCATACATACATACATACAGGACAGAAGAGGAGACAAGGCAGAACAAGACAGACTTGGATCCAAATTTGGCTGACTAAACAAGCCTCAGGCATGAAAATATCAAACTCAGCTATCACAGACATGGAACAACCTGGCAGTTGGATATTGACAAAGAGTAGCCTAACAGCGCTGCCCCGGCTAAAATTTGGAGTTAAAAATCGACCCAAAAGTATTTCAGGATCCTCATCCGCGCAACAGAGTTTGTGCACTGTACTGATAATCTTCAGACTCAGGGTTGAGTAGGAAGTAGAAAAGAACACTTATGGGTTTACACCCGTGTGCCATGATGTTGTTCCAACGACTAAAGTAAACTATATATGTATACAGTATATATAAGCAGCCACACAAATGCTCAAAATCATGTCTTAAACATGCTCCTCTGAGACAGGATTGTCATAAATTATAATCAAACATATATTTTATATGTGTGCTCCTCTAAGACAGGATTGTCACAAATTATAATCAAACATATATTTTATATGTGTGCTCCTCTAAGACAGGATTGTCATAAATTATAATCAAACATATATTTTATATGTGTGCTTCTCTAAGACAGGATTGTCACAAATTATAATCAAACATATATTTTATATGTGTGCTCCTCTGAGACAGGATTGTCACAAATTATGATCAAACATATATTTTATATGTGTGCTCCTCTAAGACAGGATTGTCATAAATTATAATCAAACATATATTTTATATGTGTGCTCCTCTAAGACAGGATTGTCATAAATTATAATCAAACATATATTTTAGATGTATGCTCCTCTAAGACAGGATTGTCCTAAATTATGATCAAACATATATTTTAGATGTATGCTCCTCTGAGACAGGATTGTCCTAAATTATGATCAAACATATATTTTATATGTATGCTCCTCTAAGACAGGATTGTCATAAATTATGATCAAACATATATTTTATATGTATGCTCCTCTAAGACAGGATTGTCATAAATTATGATCAAACATATATTTTATATGTGTGCTCCTCTAAGACAGGATTGTCCTAAATTATGATCAAACATATATTTTATATGTGTGCTCCTCTAAGACAGGATTGTCATAAATTATGATCAAACATATATTTTATATGTGTGCTCCTCTAAGACAGGATTGTCATAAATTATAATCAAACATATATTTTATATGTGTGCTCCTCTAAGACAGGATTGTCATAAATTATAATCAAACATATATTTTATATGTGTGCTCCTCTAAGACAGGATTGTCATAAATTATGATCAAACATATATTTTATATGTGTGCTCCTCTAAGACAGGATTGTCATAAATTATGATCAAACATATATTTTATATGTGTGCTCATCTGAGACAGGATTGTCACAAATTATGATCAAACATATATTTTATATGTGTGCTCCTCTGAGACAGGATTGTCATAAATTATGATCAAACATATATTTTATATGTGTGCTCCTCTAAGACAGGATTGTCATAAATTATAATCAAACATATATTTTATATGTGTGCTCCTCTAAGACAGGATTGTCATAAATTATGATCAAACATATATTTTATATGTGTGCTCCTCTGAGACAAGATTGTCACAAATTATGATCAAACATATATTTTATATGTATGCTTCTCTAAGACAGGATTGTCATAAATTATGATCAAACATATATTTTATATGTGTGCTCCTCTAAGACAGGATTGTCACAAATTATGATCAAACATATATTTTATATGTGTGCTTCTCTAAGACAGGATTGTCATAAATTATAATCAAACATATATTTTATATGTGTGCTCCTCTAAGACAGGATTGTCATAAATTATAATCAAACATATATTTTATATGTGTGCTTCTCTAAGACAGGATTGTCATAAATTATGCTCAAACATATATTTTATATGTGTGCTCCTCTGAGATAGGATTGTCCTAAATTATGATCAAACATATATTTTATATGTACACACAATTAGTCATGGTGGTAGAGAAGTTAGTGACTAGCTTACTGCAATGTTGATCAAAGTTCAATTCCTGGCAGAGACCAGATTTTGTTGCCCAACCAATATGACCCCTAAACTCAAACCAGCCTCACAAACTGCGTACATGAAATTTTTTGTTTCTTAAAATAGACAGAGAGGAAATGAACTGGTACCTACACCACATGATGTTTTATATAAAGACTGACCAGCTCATATCCACTGGGTTCTTATGTGGGTTCCAGGGGCCTTTTCTGGGGAGAAAAACAAGGACTGACCCACTGTCTGCTCATAAGAGTCAACTAATTGGGGGCTTCCTTCGAAGTTAGAGTGCATTTGCAAGTAACCAACAGTCTGCATAAAATAAGCCAGATCTGTAAAGCGGATTTGCAAGCAACATCAGGTTTTGGAACAAGACTGAGGTCCAGAAGTGAGTGAACAGCCAGAACTCTTCACCAAAGTTTACAGCTGGTGAAAGCAAAGAAGACATCCGCAGGACAGCATATGCCAGGGTTTTAGCTTTATCTATGACCAAAGAGGATATGATGGAAACTTACTTTGAAGATGGTCTTCCTTCAGGCAGAAATGGAACGTGAGAGCTGCGGTGACAGACGGTAGAATGAACAACCAGATGACGTTGAGGTTGTAGGTGTAGTAGCTGAGGCTGTGGCCTATAGCTGTCAGAAACCAGGCCATGGCGATGGGAACTGCTAGGGTTATTAACCAGGTCAAGGTCACCGCCAGCACGGCCATCAGCATCGGTTTCAGTACACTTCCTACACCTGCAGTGGAAAACATTCAGTAATCAACATGCAGTTTTGTTTGTTATTCGTTAGCAGTTGTTTTTAATTAAAAAAACATTTAAAATCTATGGCTAAGCACCAGCAAGGAAATTAGAATTGAAATTTGAGAGCCTGCATTTTCTCTGTAGCAACATATGTATGTGAGTCGTGGACTATTTCTCAGTCCCTGTAGCAACATACGTATGTGAGTTGTGGACTATCTCCCAGTCCTTAAGGACAGAAATGTTCTGTTGAATCAGTGCTCCTGTATGGCTGTGAATCTTGGAATGTGAATGAACAAATCAAGAAGAACCTGGAGGCCATAAGATGAGGTTTCTGACAGCCATGCTGCAGATACCGTAGACAGTCAAAGTGACTAACACTGACTGCCTGGAAATTGCTAATGAAATAAGAAAACTATATACTACTATAAGAATGAGGCAGTCGATGTTCTTCAGTCATGTGATGAGAAGAGAGTGGAAAAGAGGGGAAAATCCTAAGGGATTGAACTGCTTCATACAGTTTTATCTAAAATCCGCCAGTTACGGCCGCTAGCATTCCTGGGGGGTATTTATTCCCCTATCCCACTTGTCTCGTCAGTCTACTGAAAAGACATCAACCTGGCTGCCTCGAGATACTAAGTTAAATGATTTTGGGTATTTGTGTGAGATTGTTTGATTAATGTATGTGCTGATGAAGGCTCCACAGCCACAGCGTTCAGGTTTTGTTTGTGTTTGTTGCAATGTGAAGCTTGCTGATATACTTTTTGTTCAGTTTTATGTCTTTGCTTGATGAGAAGAGAGACACTGGAGACATTGTCATGACTGGAAAGAACAGTGGATGAGGCAAAGGCAGAAAAAAAAATAAGATGCTTGTCGGCCTACAGCGATGGCATGGAGGTATATCTTCAGTGAAGGTGATTTCAAAATACCAAGGGTCAAGATCTGTGAAGTGACAGGAGTGCCTATGCTGCTGGGCAGGGCTCGTGATGATAATGATGATGATGATGATGATGATCTGTTTATCAAACAGGTGTTTTCCAGTGCTATTCTCAGTCAGAACATGGTCAGTATTAAGAGTTATGCTGTGAACTGTGGCTGTTTCTTATTAACAGAACCAATATTGATGCACTCAGGCAATCCTACAGATGGTGCTTAGGTAGACAGGAATAAGTCTGGATGCACACAGACTGAAGGGTAGGCTGTCTATGCATGCACATATTCCATGACCTATCTCAACTCCAACATAATCCAAACAATGTGAAACTAAAATGTGAAATGCTTTTTTCTTCTCCCTTCATCTTGCTGTCAGAGTAATTGACAGCATGAGGCCAGTAGCCTTGATGTAGTCCAAATCTCCCCATGTATTCTACAACTTGGGGTTGATATGACATGCTTGTCTCCAGACATATAATCTAGCCTCTGTAAACCAGCAGTCTCCAACATGGGGGGGGGGGGGGGGGAGACCTTGGGGGTGAGGAGGTGGGTGGGGAAGTTCCATAGGGGGCATTGAGCAGTTTTGAAAATGAGTGCATCCAAACTTGTAATAATTCATTAAACTGACATTTTCATTCTGTTTAATTATAAATTAAACAAATTTCAAACTATTTAAAAAAAAAAAAAAAGCCAGGAATGTTTTGGTTTCATGAGCAGTTGTAAATCTATTATTCAAAATCTAATGAATATGATAACATGTGCATATATTTAAAGATTAAGAGCACATTTCTCCTCTTTTTCTGAAAACATTTAATTATTTTGTTTAGGAGGGTCCGGTGGCATTGGGGTCTTGCCATATACTGAAAAAAAAAGGGGGGGGGGGGCATAAAAAAGGTAAACACACAGTGCTGCCCGCATCCCGTCGAGGACAAACAATGAAGACCGAGTCTTACCAGTGACCCCATCTCGTAACAGCCTCTTGACAAAGGCCATATAGACGTAGAAGGCAGTTGTCCAGTTGAGAATGGTGGCCATGCGTGTGGGATAGGCCACCATGAAGAAGCCCAGGAAGTCAAAGAACACCATGGACCCATGCTTATCTTCTCCTGGGTTGGTCATCTTTGAGCTGCTGGCTAGAAGGATGGTGGTGGCCAGAATATTTTCACCTGGAGAAAAAGCTAAGTCAGTTTAGAGTGCACCCTCATCAAAGTCGATCAACGGTATTGTTGTATGTGACACACATAAGAAGAACTGTTGGAATGATCCACATTAAATTCACTGAGAAACAAAAATTAGAATGGTTCAGCCACCTAGTGAGGACAAATCCAAAGATGCTGGCAGCGAGCGCGTATAACCTGAAAATGGAAACATCAAGAAGCCGAGGCAGAGCTAGACGAAGATGGACAGATGTAGTCACCGACGGCCTAATAACACAACAACAGGGCATCCCAAGTAACCAAGCTCGCCCTGGCATAGCCACCTATCATTCTATAAACCAGTGATTCTCAACTTTCCTAATGCCCCAACCCTTTAGTACAGTTCCTCAGGTTGTGGTGACCCCCCAACCATAACATTATTTTGGTTGCTACTTCATAACTTCAGTAAATATGTGTTTTCCTATGGTCTTAGGCGACTCCTGTGAAAGGGTTGTTCGACTCTCAAAGTGGTCTAACTTCTTTGTGGGTCGTGAGCCACAGGCTGAGAATTGTTACTATAAATGGATGCCGAGCGAAACGAAACAGATGTTGACAAAAGAAGAGAAGTATCTGACAAAATAAATAATTCAGAAGAAAGTATTTTGACTGTGAATGTCAACAATGAGAATATAAACAATGCATTGCACACAATATAATGTCTGACATTGCAGTATCTCACCAGGTGCACTGTAAGCGCACTTAACGCTCAACCCACTCAGCACATAAATGCCGAGATCTCGGCTTGTCAGGTTTTTTAATGACATGTTGTCTTTGGCTACAAAACTGTACTTTTATTCAAGTATATAAATCTGCATTAAACAAAACTCCACTTAGTCAAAGTATTAAATGTGAATACCATTCATTTTACTTTCATTATAAATACAGAAATAATTTATCAGGAAACTGAAATATTTCAGCCATATTAAATGCCAGGATGGACTGAAAAGAACAGAAGCAAACAGCACAGTGTTGGGTAAAAGGGCAGAGGTCAGCCAGCATGAAGATGGGCACACGAAATTAGAGACACCACCTAGGCAGAAGAGTGCATGAGGTGAGAAAGCTAGTGGGGATGGATATCTTTCAGGCAGGCTGTGATGGGCACAGAAAATAAGAGACACCACCTAGGCAGGAGAGTGCATGAGGGGGGAAAGCTGGTGGGGGTGAATATCTTTCAGGCAGGCTGTGATGGGAGCAAGAGATAAGAGACACCACCTAGGCAGGAGAGTGCATGAGGGGGGAAAGCTGGTGGGGGTGAATATCTTTCAGGCAGGCTGTGATGGGAGCAAGAGATAAGAGACACCACCTAGGCAGGAGAGTGAGGTGAGAAAGCTGGTGGGGATGAATATCTTTCAGGCAGGCTGCGATGTGGGCAACATTCAGTAAAGAACCAGCTACCTAATGATGACATCCACTACTCTAGACTCTATATTTTAATAAATTGGTTGCATTTCAATGAATGAGCAAAATCTGTCCAGCTGACAGATGATCCTAACTAGGGATTACATTTGGAGTAGGGCTTAATGATAAGCATCTTGAAATATCAGACAAGGGTTTATTTCTGTCGCCGTCTGTGGCTTAGGCGCTGCGGGTGAGCGTCCTAATTCTGAAGTGCCTGGTTCAATTCCCGCTGTGGGCAATTTGGTAGCAGACTGTCCTCTACTGGTTCTGTTGGTGGTATTGAGAGCTGGCTGTTTAGGAAGAACTGGCGAACCTGTGAACGTAAAATCACATACAGCCAAATATTGCTAGGGTTCTGCAATATCCTGCAAAGGGACGCAACTAGTATGTCTTATTTGTCCACATCCTGGGGAAACACATGTAGATAAAGGGATAGAGAGGACACCACACAAATAAGGCCACAGCTTGTCCCATGAAACCAAAGGGGATGTCTAGCCTGGTGAACAAATGCCTGATGAAACCAGAAATATTGCAGTTTTGCTGTAAAAAGGCGAAACATAATTATGTCCCTCGAACCAAAGTGAGGAAGAAAAAGATTTTCAGTTACACATCATCTGATTTGATTTGTTTGGTTTAAACAACAGATCAACATTTTTGCACAAGGACAGTAACCCATAAGTGCTCTGTTTTTCTTCTCACTCAATCACCTGAGTCCAAAAATTCTCAGGCAGTGCACGAACTCCCTAGCACCGATGAGGATCCTGAAAATATTTTGGGTAGATTTTAAACTCCAAATTTTGCTGCAGTGGCACTGTTATGCTATTCTGTTTTAATGTCCAACTGCCAAGTTCTTTTTTACGTGCCCAACAATGCCCATGGGCGTCCAATCTTATTACCCAGAGACCAGGGGAAATTACTAAAAGTCCATGTGAAAAAATCCCAGCTTTCACCGCGGCCTGAATCCGGGACCTCCAGCACTCAAGGCAGACACCATGCCTGGAAACCACTCAGCCCCCGGTACACAATCTATGGTCAATGAATAAAGTGCACATTATAACTTCTATCTAGACTGTACCTCCTCTCTGCATACTCCCAGGAGGTATGAATCGGGGTAAGTCATTTCTGGTATGGTAAACATACCCATTCTTGATATGTGCAATATCAATACCTGATATTAGGGAGAAAACAAACATACAATGTCAGAACATTTGACATATATACAGATAACATTTCTAATGGCAGTAAACAAACAAACAAAAACTGAAAACAAACTTAAAGAAACTTAAGACATACAGAGTAAATAGTTCTAGTCTGATAATTTTAGGCTGACCTGGTCAATGTTAGTTAGTTAATCAACAAACTATCATCACTGCACATCAGACAAATCCATAAGCACTCAGATCCCATCTTCAGTATGTCCCTCACCAATTCTGTGTTGATGAACTTCTTCTTCTTCTTCGCATTCACCAGCTGTAAACTCTGGCAGAAAGTTCTGGTTGTTCATCAACTTCTAGGCTGCAGTCCTGTTCCAGAACACTGAGTGTTGTGTGTGTGTATCCGTTTTACAGATCTGATTCATTTGTATGCAGACTGCTGGTTCCTTGCCTCTCAGGCAGATGCACTCCTACTTTGAAGGAAGCTCCCAATTAGTCGACTCTTACAACATGCTTTTGGGTTGGCAGTGGATCTATTCTCGTTTTCACTAAAATAGGGCCCTGGAACCCACACGGGGAGTTGATTAAGTATGATTTTTGATTGGCTAGCTGTATAGTTTCATGTCTGGCAATACCTCTTCTGAACTCAAAGTTCTTGTGGTTTTTAGAATATTGTCGACAGCGTCGTCTCGTGAATCATTTACTGGTCCTACCTCCTTGAGAGCACTGAGAAAAGTGGCCCGGTCCACTGCTTGTCCAAGCTAATCCATTCATTCATGTCCTTACCTCAGAGTGCCCTGGTACAAAAATGAAACTGATTCCTGATAGACCCGATTTCCTCAGTGACTCCAACCATTGTCTTCGAACCCATAGTGTCTAGATCTTCTTAAGCATGCTCAGGGAATAACTTAAAAAGCACACACGGGAAAAATTATGTTACTGCCATCATCTCCAAGGTCAAACTACTGGTAGTTGAGCCAAAGGTACTGTTGTCTTCTTTTACTGTTCTCCATCAAACCAGAACTGTGAAAGCGTATGAATGTTGTACATGACGAACTATGGATCCATCGGTGTAATAAAACCTGCCACCAGATTTTCTGATGCCCCTTATAGGCTGAGCTGATATGAAAGCCTGAGAAAAAAATTATGTTTATCCCAAACCCAAATGGGATTTGAATACATGACCATAAGACTGGCTGGCAGGCAACCGTGTTACCCACAGCATCATTGGGTTCCATCTATCTATATCTACACACATACATTCAGGGATACTGTGGGACATAGATTGATGGACTGGCACATACATTCAGGGATATTGTGGGACATAAGTTGATGGACTGGCACATACATTCAGGGATACTGTGGGACATAAGTTGATGGACTGGCATATACATTCAGGGATACTGTGGGACATAAGTTGATGGACTGGCACATACATTCAGGGATACTGTGGGACATAGGTTGATGGACTGGTTTCCATCAATGTATATCTATACACATAAATTCAGGGATATTGTGGGACATAAGTTGATGGACTAGCACATACATTCAGGGATATTGTGGGACATAAGCTGATGGACTGGCACATACATTCAGGGATACAGTGGGACACAGGTTGATGGACTGGTTTCCATCATGCCACGGACAGATATCAGTGCATCAGCTGATTAACCACCTTTCCCCAAGAGGCAGTTTAGGTTATATTGTGGTCTGCATTATTTGCACCAAATTTAATGGCTTACAACTGCTTGTCACTAACTAGCCCTGAAAAAGACTCTTGCAGTACTGATGTAATAACTCAAACACTTTTGATAATGGCAGAATGAGAAACAGTGACGCCAAAAGGAAAACAATGACAGAATGGAGAAACAATGATGACAGAATGAGAAACACTGATGCCAGAATATGAAACAATGGGGAAAATGGAAAACAAATAAGAAACACACATGGCAAAACAATAAACGATGGTGACCAAATTGGAGAAACAATGATGAAAGAAGGAAAACACAGAATGGAGAAACAATGAAGACAGAAAAAAAAACAATGATGTAAGAAGGAAAACAATGACAGAATAGAGAAAAATGATGAAAGAAGGAAAACAATGACAGAATGAAGAAACAATGTCATAAGAGGACAGGAAGGTTGGGGTGGAAGTGGCTAGACTTATTCTAGAAAACTTCAGCTGAACTATCCAACAAAGTGGGGGAGAACAAGTCAAAAACAAGAGATGACAGAAGACAGAAGAGTTTGTTCTGAGTTCATTCAGGACCTATGATTTGTGGCAGGAAGAATTAAGAGAAGCAGAAGGAGCAGGAGGTGCGCCTGGCTGCATATAATGTGTGATATTCAAGACAAAACAAGGTTTGGTCAAAGCTACAATAACTACTAGCAACTTTGATGACTTCATCACTATAGAAGAAATGACAATAAAACAGGACTAGCAATTACCAGGGATGTTTCCATAGTCTCTGAAGATCCTAAAATCTGTGTCAGCTGGAATCACCCCTGTCTGGAAGATCTCCTGACCCAGCACGGAGGCGTGAGGGTACGGAGCAGCCTCAATGTAAGCTTTGATCAACCATGGATGCCCAGGACCTGTTAAAGGATAGACAAGTGTATCAATACCTCTGTTCACGGACACCAATAAGAATTAACTATAGCTAGTTAACTCTGACCTGTGTCACTGTTTTAATTTAATCACTTTCATGCACATCAGATATCTCAATTATGTTTCAGGTTTCTTCTCCATTAGCAGTTGCTGGCTGCTGCTGTGTAACAGGTTTTTAGCTTTGCTGTCTGTTTCATGAATCATCTACACTTGTAGTTGTGCTAACAGCTAGGTTGTGTTCTGAAGAAGGTCTCTTGACCATAATATCAATTAGTTTTGGCTTTTTCTCCAACATTTGACTGTTGGAATTATTTACTGTTTATCTATGACTGTTGAGGGGCTCAACTTCTAATCTTTGGCTGCTAAGGTTTTTTTTTAACAATTTGAATACAACTGCCCTCATGTCTTCCTGCTGGAAGACAATCTCTCTCTTTGACTGTCTAGAAGACAATCTCCTTGACTGTCTAGAAGACAATCTCCGTGACTGTCTAGAAGACAATCTCCGTGACTGTCTAGAAGACAATCTCCGTGACTGTCTAGAAGACAATCTCCGTGACTGTCTAGAAGACAATCTCCGTGACTGTCTAGAAGACAATCTCCGTGACTGTCTAGAAGACAATCTCCTTGACTGTCTAGAAGATAATCTCCGTGACTGTCTAGAAGACATTCTCCATGACGGTCTAGAAGACAATCTCCGTGACCTAGAAGACAATCTCCTTGACTGTCTAGAAGACATTCTCCATGACGGTCTAGAAGACAATCTCCGTGACTGTCTAGAAGACAATCTCCTTGACTGTCTAGAAGACAATCTCCTTGACTGTCTAGAAGACAATCTCCTTGACTGTCTAGAAGACAATCTCCTTGACTGTCTAGAAGACAATCTCCTTGACTGTCTAGAAGACAATCTCTGTGACTGTCTAGAAGATAATCTCCTTGACTGTCTAGAAGATAATCTCCTTGACTGTCTAGAAGATAATCTCCTTGACTGTCTAGAAGACAATCTCCTTGACTGTCTAGAAGATAATCTCCTTGACTGTCTAGAAGATAATCTCCTTGACTGTCTAGAAGATAATCTCCTTGACTGTCTAGAAGATAATCTCCTTGACTGTCTAGAAGATAATCTCCTTGACGGTCTAGAAGACAATCTCTGTGACTGTCTAGAAGACAATCTCCTTGACTGTCTAGAAGACAATCTCCTTGACTGTCTAGAAGACAATCTCCTTGACTGTCTAGAAGATAATCTCCTTGACTGTCTAGAAGATAATCTCCTTGACTGTCTAGAAGACAATCTCTGTGGCTGTCTAGAAGACAATCTCCATGACTGTCTAGAAGACAATCTCCTTGACTGTCTAGAAGATAATCTCCTTGACTGTCTAGAAGACAATCTCCCAGCCAGACCATCGGCTGATCTAACAATTAGAACACAACTGCCCTCATGTACTTCTGACCTGTCTGGATGAGAAATCTCCCAGCCAGCCTTTCTCCTTCTCCTAATAGAACAATTAGAACACAACTGGTCTCACATACTTCTGACCTGTCTGTAAGACACTTCCTGCCAGACCTTCTGCTGATCTAACAATTAAAACACAGCTGGTCTCACGTACTTCTGACCTGTTTGTAAGACAAGCACCCAGCCTGAATTTATCCTGACATAACAATTAGAAGACAACCGCTTTTAACTACTTCTGACCTGTCTGGAAGACAATCTCCCAGCCCCCGGCTCCGGCTGAATCTAGATTGACAAACGCTCTGACACTGGGAGCCCAGGGATGCTCTGTAATGAAGCCATGCTAGTCTGCAGACAAGGACATCAACACACTTTATGTTTAAACACTTGGCAGACTTTACATGTGTTTTTACATAACCCTTTTCACACTTGACCTAAAGTTTAACTCTTTCCACACTTTAGCTGATCCTAGGCTAACAGGGCTAGCAGAAAATCTGGAAAGATCAATGAAAAAAGAGACAGATGAAGACAGCATGAGAAGATTCTTGACAGTCTTCTGTCATAGCATAGAGGGGTGTCAACACATGAACTGATACACAGAGTTGCCGATCGACAAGGCACTTGATGATGATGAATATATTTACCCTATGATATCCTGAGTAGCAGTGGCACTCAGTAATGACACCCAGATAAAGGTTCTCTAGTGCTGTGTTGATTGATACAATTATATCTGGTTGCTGATGTGTGGAAATGAGGCCCCAACACATCATGAAGAACACACTGCCACAGAAACATGACTCTTTATGAGCTCTATGATGGGTTTTTCCTAAGGGAACCAACAGAATGATGGTCCCATGCTCCTGTGGGAGCCTACTAATAAGGAATGGTTTTATAATGTGACATTGCAGCACGTAACCCTTGAAAGAGAAAGAGTGAGGGTAGAGGGAAAGATGAACAAAGTAAGTGAAGAGCCTTATTGAGAATAAGATGGAAGGAGAAAGATGAAAGAGGGGAGAGATGAAGGGTTGGGGTGGCGAAAGAGAGTGGTAGGAAGAGTAATAAAAAAAAACCAAGAGAGGAAGAGGCAGGAGGAAAATAGTGACAGAAAAATGACAAGGGGAGACGTACTATTGTCAGAGTGAAATACCAGGGAGGAAGAGGCAGGAGGATGAGTGATCGTCTAAAAAATACACAAGATGTTGAGTCCTAATGGAAACCCATGGACCCTGCTAGTCCAGAGTGATTACACATGGAGGGCCTGCTAGTCTAAGTGAATACACACATACATGTTGCTAGTCTAAGTGATACACATGGATGTTGTCTAGTCTAAGTGAATAACATGGACGCCTGACTAGTCTAGTGAATACACATGGACGCCTGCTAGTCTAAGTGAATACACATGACACCTGCTAGTCTAAGTGAATACACATGGATGTTGCTAGTCTAGAATAACATGGATGCACTGCTAGTCTAAGTAATACACATGGAGGCTGAATACACATGGATGTTGCTAGTCTAAGTGAATACACATGGATGTTGACTAGTCTAAGTGAATACACATGGATGTTTGTCTGCTAAGTGAATACACTGGATCGCCTGCTAGTACATAAGTGAAACCTGCTAGTCTAAGTGAATACACATGGACGCCTGCTAGTCTAAGTGAATACACATGGATGTTGCTAGTCTAAGTGAATACACATGGACGCCTGCTAGTCTAAGTGAATACACATGGATGTTGCTAGTCTAAGTGAATACACATGGACGCCTGCTAGTCTAAGTGAATACACATGGATGTTGCTAGTCTAAGTGAATACACATGGATGTTGCTAGTCTAAGTGAATACACATGGATGTTGCTAGTCTAAGTGAATACACATGGACGCCTGCCATAGTCTAGTGAATACACATGGGACGCCTGGTTAGGTCTAAGTGAATACACATGGATGCCTGCTAGTCTAAGTGAATACACATGGTATTGTACTAAGTGAATACACAGGATCTGCTAGTAAGTGAATACACATGGACTAAGTGAAGCCTGCTAGTCTAAGTGAATACACATGGACGCCTGCTAGTCTAAGTGAATACACATGGACGCCTGCTAGTCTAGTGAATACACATGGACGCCTGCTAGTCTAGTGAATACAACATGGACGTTGCTAGTCTAAGTGAATACACATGGATGTTGCTAGTCTAAGTGAATACACATAGCTAGTCTAAGTCACAGGGATGTTGCTAGTCTAAGTGAATACAATGGACGCCTGCTAGTCTAAGTGAATACACATGATGTTGCTAGTCTAAGTGACACTGGACGCCTGCTAGTCTAAGTGAATACACATGGACGCCCTGCTAGTCTAAGTGAATACACATGGATGTTGCTAGTCTAACTAGTCTAAGTGAATACACATGGACGCCTGCTAGTATAAGTGAATACACATGGACGCCTGCTAGTCTAAGTGAATACACATGGATGTTGCTAGTCTAAGTGACATACGCCTGCCTAGTCCACACATGGACTCCTGCTAGTCTAAGTGAATACACATGACGCCTGCTAGTCTAAGTGAATACACATGTTGATTGCTAGTCTAAGTGAATACACATGGATAGTCTAAGTGAATACACCATGGACGCCTGCTAGTCTAAGTGAATACCATGGATGTTGCTAGTCTAAGTGAATACACATGGACTGCCTGCTAGTCTAAGTGAATACACATGGGATATTGCTGCTACGCCTGCTAGTCTAAGTGAATACACATGGATGTATACCTGCTAGTCTAAGTGAATACACATGGATGTTGCTAGTCTAAGTGAATACACACATGGACATGGAAGCCTGCTAGTCTAAGTGAATACACATGGATGTTGCCTGATACACCATGGATGCCTGATAGTCTAAGTGAATACACATGGACGCCTGCTAGTCTAAGTGAATACACATGGACGCTGCTGTCTAGTACCTAAGAATGAAATACAGTCATGGATGCCTGCTAGTCTAAGTGAATACACATGGATGTTGCTAGTCTAAGTGAATACACATGGATGCTAAGTGAATACACTGCTGGAGTTGCTAAGTGAATACACATGGATGTTGCTAGTCTAAGTGAATACACATGGACGCCTGCTAGTCTAAGTGAATATGTTGTTGAGTCTAGTGGACGCCTGCTAGTCTAAGTGAATACACATGGATGTTGCTAGTCTAAGTGAATCCACATGGATGACTGCTAGTCTAAGTGAATACACATGGATGTTGCTAGGTCTAAGTGAATACACATGGATGTTGCTAGTCTAAGTGAATACACATGGACGCCTGCTAGTCTAAGTGAATACACATGGACGTTGCTAGCTAAGTGAATACACATGGAAGCCTGCTAGTCTAAGTAACACATGGATGTTGCTGTCTAGTCTAACAAGTGTCTAATACACATGGATGTTTTTGCTAGTCTAAGTGAATACACATGGACGCCTGCTAGTCTAAGTGAATACACATACGCCTGCTAGTGAATACACATGGACGCCTGCTAGTCTAAGTGAATACACATGGACGCCTGCTAGTCTAAGTGAATACACATGGACGCCTGCTAGTCTAAGTGAATACACATGGACACCTGCTAGTCTAAGTGAATACACATGGCTAGTCTAAGTGAATACACATGGACGCCTGCTAGTCTAAGTGAATACACATGAATGCTGCTAGTCTAAGTGAATACACATGGATGTTGCTAGTCTAAGTGAATACACATGGATGTTGCTAGTCTAAGTGAATACACATGGACGCCTGCTAGTCTAAGTGAATACACATGGATGCCTGCTAGTCTAAGTGAATACACATGGATGTTGCTAGTCTAAGTGAATACACATGGACGCCTGCTAGTCTAAGTGAATACACATGGATGTTGCTAGTCTAAGTGAATACACATGGATGTTGCTAGTCTAAGTGACTACCTGCTAGTCTAAGTGAATACACATGGACACCTGCTAGTCTAAGTGAATACACATGGACGCCTGCTAGTCTAAGTGAATACACATATACGCCTGCTAGTCTAATTGAATACACATGGATGTTGCTAGTCTAAGTGAATACACATGGACGCCTGCTAGTCTAAGTGAATACACATGAATGTTGCTAGTCTAAGTGAATACACATGGACGCCTGCTAGTCTAAGTGAATACACATGGATGTTGCTAGTCTAAGTGAATACACATGGACGCCTGCTAGTCTAAGTGAATACACATGGATGCCTGCTAGTCTAAGTGAATACACATGGATGTTGCTAGTCTAAGTGAATACACATGGATGTTGCTAGTCTAAGTGAATACACATGGATGTTGCTAGTCTAAGTGAATACACATGGACGCCTGCTAGTCTAAGTGAATACACATGGATGTTGCTAGTCTAAGTGAATACACATGGTCTACAAGTGCTAATAGTTGAATACACATGGATGTTGCTAGTCTAAGTGAATACACATGGACGCCTGCTAGTCTAAGTGAATACACATGGACGTTGCTAGTCTAAGTGAATACACATGGATGTTGCTAGTCTAAGTGAATACACATGGACGCCTGCTAGTCTAAGTGAATACACATGGACGCCTGCTAGTCTAAGTGAATACACATGGATGTTGCTAGTCTAAGTGAATACACATGGATGTTGCTAGTCTAAGTGAATACACATGGATGTTGCTAGTCTAAGTGAATACACATGGATATTGCTAGTCTAAGTGAATACACATGGATGTTGCTAGTCTAAGTGAATACACATGGATATTGCTAGTCTAAGTGAATACACATGGATGTTGCTAGTCTAAGTGAATACACATGGACGCCTGCTAGTCTAAGTGAATACACATGGACGCCTGCTAGTCTAAGTGAATACACATAAGTGAATACATGTTGCTAGTCTAAGTGAATACACATGGACGCTGCTAGTCTAAGTGAATACACATGGACGCCTGCTAGTCTAAGTGAATACACATGGATGAATGTTGCTAGTCTAAGTGAATACCAAATGAATGTTGCTAGTCTAAGTGAATACACATGGATGTTGCTAGTCTAAGTGTAGTCTAAGTGGACGACGCTGCTAGTCTAAGTGAATAACACATGGACGCCAGGGATGTTGCTAGTCTAAGTGAATACACATGGACGCCTGCTAGTCTAAGTGAATACACATGGATGTTGCTAGTCTAAGTGAATACACATGGATGTTGCTAGTCTAAGTGAATACACATGGATGTTGCTAGTCTAAGTGAATACACATGGACGCCTGCTAGTCTAAGTGAATACACATGGATGTGCTAGAATCATGAAGTGAATACACATGGACGCCTGCTAGTCTAAGTGAATACACATGGA